CTGAAGAATAAATGAAATGACACTTCTTTACATGGGAGTACTTTAGCTTAGAGAAGGAGAAAGGAACATGTCCCACATCAAATAAAAAAACTTCAGAAAATTGGGTTTTCCTTTAAAAATTTCCTTTAAAATTTCATGCAACTCTGTAAAGCAGATTCACCATTACCACATTTAAAGATATAATAATTAATCCTAAATAATTTTCCCAATTAATCTATATCATCAAAGTGTTTGTTGAAAATATATAATTTAGTATACAGTTCTAGTAACTAAAAAGAAAAACAAAGCAACAACAAAAATCTAAAGTAACCTGAAAAAAGCAGACAAACTTTAAATTCAATGTTTGACTTTTTCTAGATGATGCCACATCTCTGTGAACTGTGGTGCTGATGGTGATTTTACTCATTAAACTTAATAGATCCTTGTGCAGTTATAAAGGTATTACAATTAAATGCACTGATAGGCATATATAATATAGTTAGGAATATATTATAATTAAATGTGCACATATGTATATACCCTATTTTTTACTAACAGAAGCTATTTTAATATGTAACTGATGATGGATAGATATATATTCACAAAGAACTCAAACTCAGCAAAGACAGAGGAGTCAATAAAAATGACCAAAATCTCAGGCACTTTGCAATAACAAGAAGTCCAAATGACTAAGTGAAACACAAATGAGTCCTCAAAAAGATTGGGTATATACAAATTAAAATCACAGTATTAACACTATAACCTACAGGAAATTAGCAAATACAAAAAGGCAAGCAAATGCTTAAAGATGATATGGAGTAAAGGGTGTCATAATATGGTATTAAAGAAAACAGTGTCATATTATCCATAAAGCCTTTTTTTGTTTGTTTTTTTGAGGCAGGGTCTCACTACATAATTGAGACTGACCTGGAACTCACTATGCACCCCAGGCTGGTCTTGAACTCACAGTGATCCTCCTGCCTCAGACTCCTGGGTGCTGGAATTATAGGCATGCACCACCACGCCTATCCATAAAGATTTTTTTAAAGCATATGTGCAATGATTTGGCAATTAATTCTATAACTACATGCTCCCTAGGCAAAGTCATGATACATGCATAAGAAAAGTCATAGTGTTATAACTTTAAGTTCTAAAACCTGAAACAACATAAACGTCCATAAATGCTTGCATAGATAAGTAAACTATGTGTCTTAGTTACTTTTTCATTGCTGAAATAAAATACATGATTCTTACAAGTTAAAAGGACAAAAGGCTTATTTTAGTTCAGTTTGTAGAGGTTTCAGTACATAGTTAGCTTGCACCAAGGTAGGGCAGCATAGCAGATTGGCATCACAGTGGGGAAACAGTCCATGGCAGGGCAGAAAGGAGGCAGCAAGCAGCAAGCAGTGAGCCTTTGGGATTCTTATTCTATCCAGGCTACAGGCCTACTGGATGGTGCCATCCACACATTGGGCAAGCCTTCTCATTATCCACACCCAGAACTACACTAAGCCAATCCATGGATAATTTAGTTATCACACATTCTTAATCCACATTTACACATTCTACATCAAACTACTTCCAAAAAGCCCCACCTCTGAGTGTGCATAAGGCTTTGGGGTATAACACTATGGAATATTTAAGACAATGGATTCCTAGCTAATAATAAAAATAAATGTATTAATATTGTGTACAACAGGGTGGACAACTCTTGCAACAATTTTCAGTAGGAGCAAACTTCAAAAATGTTAAATGCTGTCACATTTATTTTAAGCCCTAGTAAGATATCATTTTTTAAAATTTTTATTTCTTTGATAAAGTAAAAAATGAGAATCCAGATAAAAATCCTGAGTGTAATTACACAGCAGTATATCAGTCTTTGGATCATGTTGAGGGATAAAATTTAGAGATACGAATTCTACAAAGCACTGTCATGGTCTGGGTGCTTTTTGTTTCTCCAGGGTTTATGGGTTGGAAGCTTGGTCTCCACTTAGGCTGAGTGGAATGTGATTATAGCATTGGGGGCACTGCCTCAGAAAGGACTCATGTTAAGACTGGTTCCTTCAAGCTCTCTGACTTCCTATATCATCATGTGATCTCTTCCACACATGTTCCTGATATGATGACGTTCACTGTATTGTGACCCAGCAAAGGGGACCCTCACCAGGTGCAATCCAGTGGAGCTGTCCCATTTTTTGTCTTTCTGCCCCTAAACCATGAGCTTCATAAGCAGCCAGCATCATGCATTTTGTTACAGAGAAATGGAAAATGACAAGTACTTAGTAGTCAGTAGCATAGATACTATTTCTTAAAACACAGTTAGCACAAAAATGTTTCAAGTCACAACTATAAAACTTGAGAAATAGAAAAGTAAGTCCCCACCATGCAGAAGTTGATTTGGTACTAATGGCTAGATTTTGGATATTCTTTAGCACATCAGACATAGACATCAGACATAGCCACTCTGTCTCCATATTAGGTCAAGACAAAATCAGACCATTCTATGAGATGTCTGAATTCAAAGACATGAACATTATTCAAAACAACATAATAAAGCAAAACAAAAGGAAACGTATCCTTGCCAATATGTGACAGCTGCTTCTTTGTGTATTTGCAGCATTAGTCTCTCTTTATCCAGATCGTGTAGCTGAGATTTATTAAGCTACCTAGTCACAGCATTATTCCAGCAGTTTGATGGCATCTAATCCAGAGAAAATGAGTTCCTTCAACTCTCCCCAAATCACCCAAGGCAAGGCAAAGTCTTAGAGTGCATCCCTTTTTCATAATTTCATGGTAAGGAGCCCTGGGGTTCTCACAGTTTATGCTCTTCTTTCTAAGCAGTAAAAATCCCAAGCACAGATACATTCCTCATTCTCTGGCTGGAAGAAATTGATTAATGAAGCCTATTCTACGTTACTGAATTATTCTACTATTGCTTATTTTAAAATCTATATTTGAGTATTGAAAATAGGTCAGAATTTTGATATAGTTAAAGATGATCATTTGTAATTATTCAAATATTCAGAATTATGACTACTCTGTGAAATACACTTCAGTCTTGCTGATATAATTTTAATAACTTGTGTCTACTAAAACACTTATTTTATTGTGAATACTTCATATCTTGAATTTTTTCTACTCATCTTTCCTTAGATTTATTTATATTTTTAAAAACAATATTTTAAAAATAAATTTTTCTTCTCATTATACTATTACAATGTGCTTTCTTTCATTTCTTTATATTATTAAAATGTGTATGTTCCTTTTGAAACTGAATTTATCATCTTAGATGCCTCTATCTTATCCCCTTCTATTTGTTTATCCTTTTTTAAGGTCTACTTTCTTCTTTCTTTTACTAAACACCTATCTCTACTCAGGCTACTCTTCAATATCCTCATGGGCTGGCCTACTGATAGCTCTCTCAAATCCTGAGTGTGTACCTACCTCAGATAGGTCTCTTATTGCTGTTCAGTGGCTTAAACCTACACAAATTTATTCATGTCCCATCCTGAATGTTAAAATCTGAAGTCAGTTTTATTGGGCTAACATCAGTGTGTTGGCAGAGCTGATTCTTTATGGAGCCTTGGCAGGGGAATCTGTTTCTTTCCTCTTTTCTAGCAACTGCCCTTGTCCCTTGGCTCATGGACCCATACCACATTTTCCTCATCCCTCCTTTAAGTCATCACACTGCCTTATTCCTTTGACCACATTTCCTCTTCTATGAGGATCCTTGTAGTTATATTTACAGCTCATCCAGAAAATTCACAATATTATTCTAATCCCAGGATTCTTAATTGTGTTTAGAATGCCCCTTTTGCTGGATAAGATAATGCCCAGGTTCTAAAAACTAGAACATGGAGATCTTTGGGTGAGGATGAGGCATCATTCAGCCTATTGTAATCTCTATGACAGTTTTTTAAACAATTTTTTGCCATTTTAAAAATTATTTCCTCACTTTAAACACCTGCAGGATTGGTAGTGCAGGACATTTTAAGCACAAAACTACTTCATTAGTTTATAAATCAAAGAAAATATTAATAAGAAAAAATTTCAGAGGACAATTTGATTTATGTTTTTATATTTTATGAGACTCTAAGAAATGGATATTTATTGAAGTGGGTAAGAAGGTAAGCTGAACATGTTGGACAATATTTCATTTCTTCCTCAGAGGTATTCCAAGAATAGTTTACCATTCACTGAAATGAATCTCTAAAATTTTAGGTAAAGATTTACCTCATCTGTGAGTATAAACACACAAGTCACAGCAAGGGCAAATGAATCTTAGTTTGTCAATGGGCTTATTTGTGGTTCTGACTGCTCACTTTTCCATAAAATTATAAATAAATTCTCAATGTTTCCATCTTCTCTGGTCATAAAACAATCTGATTTTTCTTCAAAAGAAATGCTTCATTTTTAGCCTGTTATAGGCATTTTTTCAGGTAAATCTTTTAATATCCTGAGCATTTCTTGAGCAAACTCATTAATATAATGAATCTGAGAAAAATATATTAAGCAAATCACAAGATGCCATTTATCTTTATTTTAAAGGTAATTTTTTTCATTCTTTCCTTTTTAAATCATGTTTTCTTTTTTTTAATGGTTGCTTTTTATTATTTTTTTGGAATGAACAGATTTGTAATCATCCCACTCAAAGAAAGACTTTATCTTTGCTAGAATTTGAAAATATTTATCTTCCCAGGGTAAAATATCCCTTGCTTCACAATCATGCCATGTTCAAGGCATCACATTTCTGTAAGCATATACATTTTTGAACAATTATTTTCAAGGACGTAAATCATATTTTCTTAGATGGATCTGCCAATGTATGTATATTTCAAGCCTTACTGGGTGCAAGTATGTAACACAGAGTTCACAGTAGGAGCAACCTATAATTAAACATCAATAAAAGATTAGTAATTAAAACATTAGTATCATGTGAATGTTACATTTTGCTAACAGAGAATTTCAAGATTCTCAGTCATGGAGTACTGAGGCAACAGAAGTATGATGTGGGTACTTACCCTCAACGACAAAATGAGTAACAATGCCAATGGCAATTCCTATGACTGCTACGATTGCTAAGGTAAAAAGTGCAAGCCTTATAGGGTCCCAAAATTGCTGTCTTCTTTGATAATCAACTCGTGGATATTCAGCTTCTGACAATTCAACTGGTCTGTGACAAAAAAAGAATATAGTAAGACAACAAAAAACAACCTATCTATGATTCTACTTATGTCCACTTGCTATGCTCTTTCATGAAAATTATTTATTTGATTTTATTGATTTTTTTGTCTTTTTGTTAAGTTATTGGAACTATTTAGATACACACAATGATCACATTCATCATGGGAAATTTGTACCTGTACATATCTTGATTCTTTTTTTTCCCCATTGCCCTCCCCTCCTTTTAAGACTATGTTTCTCCAGGAAGGGGAAGTGAAAGGCATAGGGGAAAGGAAAGAAGGGAAAGGAATAAATATGAGAAAAGGAAAAAATGGAAACAAAGACTTTTTAAAGAGGGAGGGGTTGCAGGGGTTGAAAGGAGGGCAGGGGAATGAGAAAAACACTAAGAGCCAAGATATATCATGTAAACATACAAATTCCTAATAATGAATGTCATTGTATTGCATACCTAAAATGCACCAATAAACTTAATGAATAAAAAGGATTATCTTTATATAACTTTAAACTTGCCATTTATTTAGTTTATTCTCTGAATCCTCAAATAGGATTCAATACTGGGATATTTTGCAAGTGAGACGTTTTATAAAAGTTTGTCTATTTTACATTTATTTAATAAATATGTACGGTAAACTTTCAATAAATGTAGTGATGGAAAATCATTAAAACAGTAACTATCATATCAAAATAATGTTTCAGAAACTGTTCTAGTTTCCAAGAGGTGTAAAGATTTTAAGACATATTCTTATCTTTAGGATGCTTGCACTTTGAAAAAGGAAAAAGACATGGAAAAAAGTAGTTAAAATAAAATATGAATCCTATTATAATAAGTTTGTACAGGAGATAACATTTAATTTTTAAAGGGCTGTGTCAGCTAATTTTTTTAAGAAGGAAGTACTATTAAAACTTTGAGGAAAAATGATCTACTAGGTGAAAAAAAAAGAACAGAGAAAGTCATATGAGGGGAACAAAGAAAAAGGTAGGAATGTAAAACTAAGCGTTTCTTACTAATAATTACTACTGGAAATAAACACATAAATAAAACAAGGCTTTTTTTCATTTTTGCCCTTTTTGGCCTACAAATTATTTCTAGGTTGTAAAATCTTTCTCAGCATTGCAAAAGTGGAAGCGGAAAAGACAGAGTAAGGTGGCTGGAATGAGCTCATAAGAAGGTTCCTTACCCAAAAAGAAGAGTTGGAAATTTACCCTGAAGCATCTGAAGAGTGAATCAGATTGCATCCAGATAGCAACTTTAATTAATGCCACAGGTGTAAAGGAGGATGGGATTAGACAAGAAGACAGACAGGTAGGAAGGTTAGAGGTCATACTGATGCCCAGGAAAGACACGGAGGCCTGAATTGAGGCTGTGGAATGGTGGAGGCAGTAACTAATCCTGGAGCACTGCTGAGTGATTGACTAGGTTTGAAACAAGAAAAGGACTAGTGGTTCAAGCATTTAGAAGTCCAGGCAAGTGGTTGTAAAAGGTGAAGAAGATTAAAAGAACAAATCCAGAGTAGATGTCAATGTTGTAAATAAAGGGCAACTTGCTGTCATAACAGGAATCTAAGCAAAAAATCTATTTTACCCTCTTCCATCTGACTCATTTTATTTTAATTTTGTCACCAATGCTTGCTTACATAGTTCTAAGAAAAGCAGCTGTGAAGGTTGAAGCCACACAATTCAGAAAAAAAGTTACTAATGTTCCCATGTATAGTGCCTTCCTTCTCATCCAAAATAAAAATCTACTTCCAAGATGCATGGCAGTGAGTATTCTTATTTATTTTGTGGAAATTCTGAGTTATTGTAACTCATTTTTGTGGTCACTCTTTATTTCTCTCTTTGGCTGATTTTATTGTTGCAACCTGAGTTCTTCAAAAGGTAAGAAATGATGAGAATGAAATTGTATCAGATGTATGAGGTGAAAACCAAGTGTGGCATTGTAATTGCATTGTCAGTGTAAAGGACACTGTTGTATTTCCTGGTTACAGGCATATTTATTTGTAAAATGGGTACCAGCTGTTGCAATCTGATATAATTAGAATGCTGGTTTTGTCTCAGGTGGAAGTTGAAGTAAATTTTACCAAATATCCATTTTTTTTTTGTTTTGAAATGTAAATGGCAACAACAGTATGCAGAAACTATACAAATACAAAGGAAGTGGTGTTTACCCTAACTGGGAAAGAAAATTTTGTTTAAAAAAACAAAACAGAGCAGCACAGTTGACAAGTGGAAGGTGAAGCCCCGAGGAGCTGTTCTACTACTCCAACTCCATGGTCCTAGGCTTACAAACAGTGCAGGCTGTGCTGCAGTGGAGCTGCATGGGCACCTGCAACAGTGCTCTCCCCACTCCTGCCTCTGACCTCTAGACTGCACCAGTACCCAGATCCATAGCTCAGAGGCACAGGGAGTTATAAAGGCCATTGTCCTGGGCTCCAGAAGATAGAGCAGAAGTGAACAACAGAAAGAGGGCCCCTCTCAGGCTCCATGATGACTGAAGCCCACTGTAAAAGTGAAGAGAGTCTTTGCAATAAAGGCACACCAGACTATGGTAGGTGGTAAGTTGGAGGAATCACTACTTCCTATCAGAACCTGGACTATCTTCAGGGGAAGGGCAGCTGGAACTTGCAGCAGAACCTTGCAGAGCTCAACCCTGCAGGAGGTCAGGGAGCTCAACTTGGGCCTTGCAGCCATAAATTAGCCTGAATCTCAGGGGTCCACTGCTGGCTTGCTGACACTAACTGACTGAGACCTACACACTGCTGCCCACATTGTCTATTGTGACAGCAGAGACATACACTGACAGAGGCTCTTTATTTTTATTTTTAAAATTATTTTTTCTTTTTCTCTTATTTTCAATTTTTTTCTTCTCTTGAAATTTTTTCTCTCTTCATTTTTCTGTTCTGTTACTCACTCTTTTGCTCTCCAACATTTGTCATCTCTCTTTTTGTTCCTGTACCTGCCCTAAATTGGATTTCTTCTTTCCTTTTTTCTTCTCTCCTTTTCCTTCTCTCAACTGTCATTAGTTCCAAAGAAAAATGAATACAGTTTCTAGCTTCCCTATTGCTGTTAGGTTGTTCTGTCTTTTTATCTTGTCTTCAATAGTTTCCTAGTTTGCATGATCTTCCTGTGTCCTGTGGCCTCACATCTAACTTTACCTTCTACCTAACCTTCTACATATTTATCCCTCTCTCCCCAACTCCTTCTAATTCCCCATCCTGAAGGGTAAAGTTGCTATATTGAGAGTTCATTCAGTATAAACATATTTTAGGCTGGTCCTCAATTTTGATTTAATTCACATGGTTAAAGATAATTGACTAATAACTACCATAAATTGTCATTTTCTAAGCTGAGCTTGAGGCTATTGTGTTGCTGATTGTATCACTTGGGCTAAGGTGTTGTGATTGATCTAATCAGTTGTCCTTCCTGTTATTATGAAATGACAGTGTCTCAGAGTCATAAGAGACTCAAAACCTAAAGACCAGCTATATCAGGAAGATCAAAATATTAACCCCAGAATTAAATCAAGGACAGTACCAACAACAAAAATAGAAATGAGGAGACATTTAAGCAAGGTGCAAACACAGACTTCCAGCTTACCAAAGGCAAATTCTGGGGAAAACCAGGTGGAAAAGCCTGATAAACAACCACCCAGATACCCTCAACCAATAGTGTGGGAAGTAAAACAGAGAATGAAGCTGCAGAAAAATTGAAAACAGAAATAATTTTCCAGATAACTACAGAGATGGTGAGCAGAATGAAAGACATGATTAGAGACTTTGGAACAGAAACATTTAAAAAATAGATGAATTCAGGACCATTATGGAAGCCATGAATGCCCGGCATAGGAAAGAAGTGGAAACCATGAAACAGATTCAAACAGATATCCAGCAAATGAAAACCTCTATTGAAAGTATACACAATAGACTGAGTCAATCTGAAGACAGAATATTAAGCATAGAAGACAAGATGGCAGTCGGGGACTATGAAAAGAGTGCTCTCTTAAAAATAGCAAGGGACCATGAGAAATCAATCCAACAGCTCCTAGATGATGCAAAGAAGAATAATGTAAGACTGATAGGAGTCCATGAAAAAGCAGGAGAAAGTATAAAACATAAAAACATGTTCATAGAATTAATGACAGAAAACTTCCCAAACAGAGCAAAAGAACTTGACATACAGATAAGTGAGGCATATAGGACTCCAGCCAGCCATAATAAAAAAAAATTATGCCTAGATGTATAATAATCAAGACCCAGGAAACCTAGCAGAAGAACAAAATCCTACAAGAATTTAGAAAAAAGAAACAAATCACATGCAAAGGAAGGCCCATCAGAATCACAGCAGATTTTTCAACACAAACCCTCAGGTCAGAGAGAGCCTGGATTGAGGTATTCCAAGCCCTAAAATTACCTCCAATCTAGACTAATGTATCCTGCAAAACTGTAATTCAAAATTGATGGGGAAATAAGATACTTCCATGGCAAAGAATACATGAGAGACTTCATCAATACCAAAACAACACTCTAAACAATATCCTAGAAAAAGACATGAAGATTATAACTACATGAAGCTAAACAGAGCAAACCTATCAGGCAAGGCAAGAAATTAAAGTGACAGAGAAAAAAATTAAAAAGAGCCAATGATAGGATAATAACATGACAATGATAAGTCAATACATATAAATTATAATGACCAATGTTAATGGCCTCAATTCACCAAACAAAAGAAATAGACTGGCAAAATGGATCAAGAAACAAAATCCAACAATATGCTGTATACAAGAAACAAACCTAGTTCAAAAAGAAAATCATAGACTGAAAATAAAAGGATGGAAACTGTTCTCCATGTGACAGGAAACAGGAAAAAAAGCAGGGGTAGCTATCTTATTTGAAGATAAAATAAATTTCAAACCAAAACTAATTAAGAGAGACAAAGAAGGTCACTACATCCTCTTAAAGTGAACAATCCAAGAGAAAGAGATGACAATCATAA